AATGAGGGAGAAGAATAATCACGATTAAAGTTAATAAATGGAGACAAACTCAGTTTTTTAATACGACTCTCGGTTTCTTCCTTCAATGATGTGGCAATTAATCCTTCTCCCTTGTGTGCTTTATTTTCTAAACCCTTATCTTTCAATGGACCGCTATGTATATTAGTCTCTTTTAATATATTATTTAAAACATCATTGTTTAATGATCGACTATGTATACCTTTTCCTTTTACCGAATCATCATTTTGTACTGAACTTTTAACATTACTCGATGTTAATATGATCACTAATTTTTCAAATTGGCCATTTAATTTTTCAAATGGTCAATATTTTGCACCAAATGAATAAGTGTCTCGAACTTGTGATCACTCTGATTAGAAGTTCTTATCTTTTCCTCATGTACAACTTCAGCTTCTTTCCTATATGTATATAAAATAAATAAAAATATAACAATAATTTTAAATAATATATACCGCCAGAAAGAAATTCAACACTATTATTAAAATTTCAGTTAATTATAATGAATGTATCTCGTTGTTTGTCTTCTCCGAATTCATGTCGATATGACACTTACACTCCATCATCTTAACTTATTTTGAAAATTTTAAGTTTATATCCATCATCTATGTTAAAAAGATAAAATCTAAGCTTGAATACATTTAAACTTAACACAAAAATCTAAAATTTAAACATAACGTACCTGTTCGGTTTACTATAGTACCGGTGCACAATTAAAAATAAATTTCAGTAACCAATTAATGCATCGGTACACATCTAGTACCAATACTCGATTACCTGCGTATTGATACACCTAAAACAACGTATCAAAATGGACATAAGGTTTTAGTTTGAGAATTCAAAAATTGGATTTGGGAATTATGGTATTGATATATAAATTAGGGTTTAATTTTGTGAATTGGGGTTTTGATTTGGGGATTAGGGTACTTAATTTAGGAATTAAGGTTCTATATTTGGCTTAATTAGGAAATTAGGGTTAAGGTTGTGGTTAGGATTTAGGAATTAGGGGAAGTCAAAATTCAACGGCGGTTGTTGCACACGAGTAGCCGCAGCCGAAGCCGGTGAAGGCACTTACAACCGCTTAAGTCTGAAACAAAATAAAAATAAAGAAAGTTTATCTTATCAGATTGGTTGCGTGAACAGCGAGAAATGGAGACCACACAGGGAGGTAGGAACGACACAGACTATCTCGCCGGCTGAAGAGGCTAATGGCGGCGACAAACTTCAATGACAAGGAAAAAATGTTTAGAGATTTTTAGTTTAGGGTTGGTATTTAATCCAATTATTACTAAAAAGATTATGAAAAATAACGTAATTAATATTTTATTTTAAATAATTTACCTATACATTTTTAACTAATTTATAATTTATATGTTGAATTTTTTAGAATTTTAATTTTTTATAAATTAAAGTGCTCAGTGTTGTTAATCGTTAGTGATACTTATTACTACTCGTCAAACATGATAGACTCATCCTTTTATATATTACACGTGTAGATACTAAATTTTTTTCGATTATTTTTTATTTAAGTATGAGGGGTAGTTCTGCCTACGACAGCCTAATATAAGGCTAAAGAAAGGCGCTACCAGAAATGTTATTGGTTTTTTAACATTTCCGGTAAAGCGCTACCTAAAACATTATTTTTTTTATCGGAACTGTTAATTTCGCTACCTAATTTCTGGTAGAAAAACCGGTAGAAAAAATAACAGTTTAGGTAGCGCCCAATATTAACATTTCCGGTATAAAAAATAATATTTTAGGTAGCGCTTTACCGGAAATGTTAAAAAACCAATAACATTTTTGGTAGTGTCTTTCTTTAGCCGTATATTAGGCTGTCGTATAGGAGACATCCCCAAGTATGAGGCTTTTCATTTTAGGCAAGAGTTCTACGGGTAGTTCTACCGTACGACAGCCTAATATACAGCTAAAGAAAGACGCTACCGAAAATATTATTGATTTTTTGACATTTTCGGTAAAGCGCTACTTAAAACATTATTTTTTCTACCGGAAATATTAATTTCGCTACCTAATTTTCAGTAGAAAAAATAACATTTTAGATAGCACCTAATATTAACATTTCCTGTAGATAAAAAATGTTTTAGATAGCGTTTTACCCGAAATGTTAAAAAACCAATAACATTTCTGGTAACACATTTTCTTAACCGTATATTAGACTATCGTACAGGAGACATACTGAGTTCTACGCCTCCAAAACGCTGAAAAAAGAGAGACCAATGAAATTTGTCTCGAATTGTTATAACGTTACCGTAGCAGTTCAATTTGCAAAACACGCAAAATACTAAAACAAAATTATTTGCAACATCACAGTTTTGAAACATACATTATTAACATAATTTAGTAATTTCGTTTTTTGGAAAAAAAATTAAAACATAAAAGGAGTCTCGTTAAGATTTTATTTTAATTTGATTAAATCAGAGTTTGATCATGAGAGTAAAAGAATAAAGAAATGCCCAAAACTATTATTTCTAATAAACAAACCATAAAAAGGTTCAGCAAGTAAAATTGCATAACGGAGGAGAAAACGGTCTCCGATCATAATAATTTTAAGGCGTGGTGCATGATCAACCATCTAAGAGCCAGCTGTCGTCCGCTTATCTCTATGATAACTTAAAGTTATTATTGAAACTCAAAATTGTAAATATTGAAAGTAATGTGTATCGACTTAAATGACCAAACAATACGAAAGCAAATAAGAAAAACAACAATAAGATAATGAATATTTGAGGACTTGGAAACTATAGCATACTCAGAGTTCTTGGCCAGCTTTTGATATTATTGTTCCACATATCGATCTATGATCCAACAATCGTAGGCAATTGTGGAGTAGGTTCCTCGTAGAGAACCCATCCAGTGGGTTTAATCTGCTCCGATGGAATTGAAAAACGAATCAATCTCTTTAACTTTCACATCGTCTTCATCATCAGAAAGTGATTTTAGTTCCGAGAAAAGTTTAGGATCGATCTCTGGGTTCCAATCAATATTTCCATCGATATGCACATCCTCTGCACGAATCGGCAACCTCGTTTTGCAAGGATGTCCATGATAACCTTCCCAGAACCTTTGTTTGGCTTGTTGAAAAGCTTTCAACCCAGCCGAATCATCCCACTCGAATACTTTGTCACTTTCACACAAATTCTCTTTCGCTGCAACAAATCTTCTCCATGACATCGCACCCACTTCCGTGCAGAATTGTCTCTCCCATCTAGGCAGTGGTTCGTAAAGAACTTCTCTGGGTTTGGAATGTGTATTCTTCCATCTATTACGATAGATTTCTTGAAGACCATGACAATATCTTATTTGATGATATGACATCTTTTTTTATCTAAGAATCTCCCACGAGTCGACAGCTTCTTCCTCCTTTGGCACTTGGCTTGAGTTTCAAATGTCTTCCTTATCACCTGCCCGTTCCACTGCTCTCCTTGTCTTACTTTGAAAGGTGTGGTATCTCGACACCATGGTTAGATGGAGAAAAAGAATCTTGTATTAATATAGGGAAATGGAACTTGGATTAAGGTTTAAGTTAGTGAATTCTATATTATTTATAAAGTTAAAAAAATAATGAAATTGTATAGTGTCCAAATGGCATCCAACCATCTTCAATATTACACAAAAATGTCGTTTCCTTCTACACCACCCATCGAATTTTTCTTTATCTCCTGAGCATCATGAATCATGCACGATAAGCATAAACCAAAACCTTACAAAAAAAATTAAACAAGTTCATCTGCAAGTTTCAAATGTTTTTAGTTTTCAAATTTCATAGACTAACATAATGATTCCACCATTCACAAAGCTTTTAAACACCATAGTATCTAAAATATTCTTCCAACATTTATATTTCTATTACTTTGAAATCAAGTCCATGATCAATGCGTAATATAAGAAAGTTCTCTTCTCAATCAAATCCTATAATAGACTTTTTGCAACATCGCAATTTTGAAACGTCAAATACTATTAACACAATTAAATAATCTTCCTCTAAATTTATCAAAAAGGAAAAAAAATAAAGAGAATCTTGTTAAAATTTGATCTTAATTTGCTCAAATCGGAGTTCATCATAACAACGAAAGAAGGGAAAATGTCCAAAAAAATATTATTACTAATAAACAAACCATACAAAGGTATTATAACTTAAAGTTATTATTGAAACTCAAAATCCTAAATATTAGGAGTAATGTATATTGATTTTTAATGACCAAACAATACGAAAGAAAAAAAGAAAAACCACAACAAATTAACGATTATTCGAGAACTTGCATTCTTGCATACTCCATAGTACTTCTTGGCCAACTTTTGGCATGCTTGTTCCACTTATTAATCTGATCCAACAATCAGCATAAACCAAAACCTTACAAAAAAAATTAAACAAGTTCATCTGCAAGTTTCAAATGTTTTTAGTTTTCAAATTTCATAGACTAACATAATGATTCCACCATTCACAAAGCTTTTAAACACCATAGTATCTAAAATATTCTTCCAACATTTATATTTCTATTACTTTGAAATCAAGTCCCTGATCAATGCGTAATATAAGAAAGTTCTCTTCTCAATCAATCCTATATAGACTTTTGCAACATCGCAATTTTGAAACGTCAAATACTATTAACACAATTAAATAATCTTCCTCTAAATTTATCAAAAAGGAAAAAAAATAAAGAGAATCTTGTTAAAATTTGATCTTAATTTGATCAAATCGGAGTTCATCATAACAACGAAAGAAGGGAAAATGTCCAAAAAAATATTATTACTAATAAACAAACCATACAAAGGTATTATAACTTAAAGTTATTATTGAAACTCAAAATCCTAAATATTAGGAGTAATGTATATTGATTTTTAATGACCAAACAATACGAAAGAAAAAAAGAAAAACCACAACAAAATAACGATTATTCGAGAACTTGCATTCTTGCATACTCCATAGTACTTCTTGGCCAACTTTTGGCATCTTGTTCCACTTATTAATCTGATCCAACAATCGTAGGCAATTGTGGAGTAGGTTCCTCGTAGAGGATCCATCCAGTGGGTTTAATCTCCTCCAATGGAATTGAAAACCATTTGATTTCTTCAGCTTCGCCCTTCTCATCGTCTTCGTCATCAGAAAGTGATTTGTGTTCCGAGAAAAGCTTAGCATCGATCTTGGGATTCCAATCAATATTTTCATCGATATACATATCCTCTGCACGAATCGGCAACCTTGTTTTGCAGGGATGTCCGTGATAACCTTCCCAGAATCTTTGTTTGGCTTCTTGAAAAGCTTTTAACCCAGCCGAATCATCCCACTCGAATACTTTGTCACTTTCATGCAGGTTCTTTTTTGCTGCAACGAATCTTCTCCATGACAATGCACCTACTTCCATGCAGAACTTTTTCTCCCATTCAGGTAGAGGTTTGTAGAAACTTTCTTTGGGTTTGGGATGAGTATTCTTCCATCTATTGCGATAGTTTTCTTGACGACCATGATGATATCTTCTTTGATGATATGACATTTTTTTTTCGAACTAAGAGTCTCACATATAACCAATGGGTTTGAAGATAAAAGTTTGGAGTACGAGAAGAAAAATATGGTTTTTGAAGGGAAGCAGACTTGGGTTTATATAATTTATATGGACACGCACCCCTTTACTATTACAGACATCTCTATTGATATCAAAGATTGTGCCCTTACCATAGTTACGAAAATTAGAATACGAATCGTTAGTTGTATGGGATATGATTTTTGGGTTCGTTTAGTCAGGGCACCATTACAATTAGATTCATCGGGGCTCACATATTAAAGGGATACACTTGAGGGCAAACCAAAAGCAGACAATTCTGAAATTTTTGGCAAGTTAACCTCGTTACATTGATGTGGTAAGATAATAAAAAGGGTTAGTTTCTAAATACTTCTAATTCAGCAATCGTCTTTGCTAGTGTCATAACAAAGATTCCAAAGGCAAAAGATTTGTGTAAAGTGGCACTTTCTTCGGATCATTTTCCTCTCGTTGGGGAGGCTCCAAGAAAAAGACTTTTCGATTCAAATCTAAAAGGTTGCTCCATTTTGAATGTGATAAAGGCTTGGAATGACATTGCATGGACTCTGGGGTAGGCAATTGTAATGGGGTTTTGCAATCTTTAGGCCTATTGTTTCGTGTCTCGTGTTAGGCATAGGAATTTTATCTATGTTTTGATTGTTTTCATAAGGTATGTTCAGCGTTCTGTCCTCGGGTTTGATAATTTTGATTTTTTTCAATTAGAGTTTTGTAATCCGCTAATCATAGAACCTTCTAATCTCTTCAAATTTCAATCAAATCTTAAATCAAAACAAAAAATTAAAACTTTTCGATTTATCACTGTCAATTATAAAATCAACTTAAAATCAAACAATATTAATCTTCTGGTCAAACACATCCTCCTCATTGTTGGTATTGATTGACGATCGTTTCGATTATAAAAATTTATTTTTGGTAGGGACTAGTGATCAAAATGAAAGTATCCTAAAAATTCAGTGACTGCCAATATAGTTAATCCTAAGTTTTTATTTTAAAAAGTAAAAAAAAATCTCACACTATGCATCCACTTGAAACTTTTAAAATCTCGAAGAAGTTTGAAATTATAGCATTTTAAAACAGTTTCATTTTAAAATAATACTATTTATAATTGTTTCTTTGAATAAATATTTTTTAAAAAATCAAGGTAATAAAATTCATGAGATTTACCATATAATGTTAAAATGTATAAATATTATCAATTATATAAATATATTTTTTATTAAATTAAAAAAAATGATATTTTGTATTTTGTATTTTGAGTGTTTTTTATTTGTAATTCCCATAAATTTTCCATATAATGATTGAAATAATTATCCTCGTATCCAATCTAAAGCAAGTTCATTGGGGAGAAAAATCTCCTACTCCCTCCCACGTACCTCGAGTACAATGAGTGCCCACTCTCGCGAGTATGCATTACTCCCGCTTCCTCATTTACTGTACCTTTGTCACCTCTCTGTCAATTCCCTCCTTTCCACATATATATATACACCCTATTCTCTTTCCCTTCTCTTCATCTTCCAAATCTCTACGCTCTTTTCTTCTCGCTGCTAATTTTTGGTTCATCTCCGGCGTTCGAAGATCGTAAAGAGACCGGCGTCGTTTCAAATGGCAACGAGAACGGATCTCGATGGTAGGCCAGTAAAGCCGATAACGATATGCATGATCGGTGCCGGAGGCTTCATTGGCTCTCACCTGTGCGAGAAACTGATGTCGGAGACGCCGCACAAGGTTCTCGCCTTGGACGTTTACAATGACAAGATCAAGCATCTACTCGAGCCCGACTCTCTTCCTTGGGCTGCCACCGACTTAACATCAAGCATGATTCTAGGCTCGAAGGCCTTATCAAGATGGCAGATCTCGTCATTTCTTGCTCTCTCTCTCTCTCTTTTTCGCTCTCCTTGGTATCATTGTTAGTTCTTTCTTTCTGCTGAACAACGTTATAGGACATGATGGATCTTTTGAAATTTCTCTTTATTTCCATTCGAAATGGTTTTTTTTGTCTGGAGGTTTTCTATGTTTTTAGCTTATTAGATCTCGTTCAATTATGTATTTATTTGATTTTGAACTTTTTGAGCTAATTTTGTCTCATTGTTGTTTAAAAGATTGTTTCTTATTATTTGTTTTTAATAAGTTCTAGTTGAAATTATGGCTATTGATTTGATTTTTATTGTTTTGTGGCAATGTAGATGATAAATCTGGCGGCAATCTGTACTCCGGCTGATTATAATACTCGTCCACTTGACACGATTTACAGCAATTTTATTGATGCACTTCCTGTGGTAAGCATTTCTCTTGTAACGGTTTGTGTGTGTCATTTTTTTAGTTTCCATTTAGTTAGATTGATGTTGATGTGAGTGAGGGGAGATTTGGTTTTTATGCTGAGTTTTTCAAGATCGAAGTCAAAAGTGATGCTGTGAACTTGTGGTTTGATAGGTGAAGTATTGTTCAGAGAAAAACAAGCGTCTGATTCACTTCTCCACTTGTGAAGTGTATGGAAAAACTATTGGAAGCTTTCTTCCTAAAGATTCTCCTCTTCGTCAGGTAACCTTTCGCTTTCACTTTTCTAGTTGCTTAATTGAACAGCTTTTGAAAAAAAAAATTCTACGTTTTGCTTTTAACATGGCGGCATGTATGGTTTAACAGAGAGGACTGTCGGTGGTCTTTTTCTATATTAAAGTTTCAAGGTTTATTTTTTGATGTATATGTCTAATATTTAAGAGAATGATTTTTTAAAGTTGATATTAAGCTGAAATGTTATGATATTTGGGTTTAAATGAATGAATCTTGAAATTTGATGGTCAGCAAACTTTGGTCAATGCCCTAAAAAAACCCAAACAAATGGAAGCTCATGTGATGAGGTTTATGTGGTTGTTTGGTTCAATGTCATAACAATTTACTGTGGTAGTTGATGTTTTTGAGATCTTTATTTCGTCTATCAAGGTCTATCTATGAATGGTTTTTAGCAAGTTATATCAATTTTATAACTGGATTTCACTTGTTTAATGTTTGAGAGCTTTTGTTATTCCTAAAATTCCTACCTATGAACCTGTTATGTATAATAAGAGGTTATAGAACAGTCTCAAGCCTTACGAGATATTTATTCCTCTACTAATTATTTATATATGCCCTTTTCGAGTTAATAAATTCTGTTGAATACCATTTGTCTTTGTCCTCTTTTCTTTGTCAGACATATTTAACAGATAAAAATGACTATGGTATAGGAAGCTACCTTATATTGGTTTTAATTGCACTTGTACTAAAATTAGTTGCTTCTTTAAAAGCTTTATTTATTTATTTACTTCATGAAGCTGAAATGTTAAAACTATGTCATTTTAAAACTATTTCATTTCTAAAGGACTTTTGTTTCTCAAATAATCTGCATTTTTCAAATATTTTATGCATATGGCTGTCATGATCATGAGAGATACAGAAATCGGAGAAGACGGAGGAGAATTGGGGAAATTGGAAATAGAGTTTTCGGCAGACAACTTTGGAGCATACGCCGTTTCAATTGCAGCTGCCCCTTCTGATGTTCTTGCTATTAAGTTCCTGCAGCGTGAATGCTATGTGAAGCAACCATTAAGAGTTGTTCCATGGTTTGAGATGCCAAGTTTGCCTACATCAGTTCAAATTGCTACTTTTACGCCCTTCATAGTTGATTTTTCTGTGGGTAATTCAATAATTTCAACTATCTAGTTCCATCAGCGTTTAGAGAAATTTGTTCTAAGATGTTTAGGGATGTCAAGGAACATGTTGAATTTTTTTATCCTTTTGTGTTTCCGCTTTTGTGGATGGGATGGAGTAAGATTCAAATTGCTATGAATTTGAGTAAGACTGAAAAGGTTATTAGTTCTTATTGTAGGCTAACATTTTTTTTGTTGGCTGCAAAAGAATGGGTTACTACATATACACGTGAATTTTTCCAAGTCATGCGTAAGTGGGAGACTATAAGATGCAATACTACATTTAAGACTAGTCATAAGAGCTCTTCTTGCAATTCAGGGAGTTTGATAAAAAAACCCGGGCTTCAAAACTTTGCTACCTTAAATATTGCACATAGCAAGATTGGTTCTTGTGTGTGTAACATACACTTTTGGATTAGGAATGACACCACTCAAAATGAAGCGAAAACAGTTGCTATCATAACAGTTGAGCTAGGTACAATGATAGGAGGGAGTGCTATACAGCAAAGTGTTCTTAGAAGCAATAAAATTAGCAAATTTTTGTTAAACTCTAAGCCTTGCATTGTACCATTGGAGAGTGGTATCGCTTTTGCATTCAAAACACCAGAGGAAGAGGTGTTTGACACACGGTTGTATGTATACAACAGAAAACAAATTGTCAATTTGAAGCAGGTTATATTTGCTCAGTTTTCATTGAATCACGATGATGTATCTATCCTGGACGTAGAGAAAAAGATTTATCAGTTCAAAGGGGTAAACTCTAATATTTTGGATAGGGTAAAGGCATTAGAAGTTATCCAGTTTCTAAAGAAAAAGTATCACGCGGGAATTTGTAGTGTTGGAATTATTGCTAATGAGAAATTGGACGTTGAGTCTGATTACTATAAGTTTTGGGCCCTGTTTAGTCATAGTGACACTCAAAACCAACCGAACCATAAACGAGTTGAAATGCTTGAGAAAGTTGGTTCTATGGTTCTAATTACTACTAGAGGCAACTATGTTTTAATTGCAACAAATAATGGAGTTATCTATTTTTTTGGTTCTGATGCTAACATTTTTCGTGGACATGGAGAACAGAAATATGAATTCCACCCAAGTATACTCTACACAATTAAAAGAAAAAGCATGTCATCAGGAGTAGAATGGCATGATGTGGACAACATCAATTTCATCACTCAGTTGAGTGTGGACTTAAAAAGTACTGATGTTGGTATAAATGCAATCAGAATTCTTGGGGGTGTTACTTGAAATATTGCATCTTGTTCCCAATTGGTT